TTGGGGTATGCTCTCTTTTCTGGGTTTCCACTTCCTCTTGATTCTTCTTCTACCTGTCTGATCACCCCTTCTCAATCTCTATTGCAGGATCATAATCAATGTCTGCTCTGTGGACATGGATGTACTCCAAATCCTGGTTCCTCTGCTCTTCTCTCTTTTCCTTCTCTCTCTCTCTTATCAACTCCCATGGATTTAATGGTCATATCTATGCAAATGACTCTTAGATCTATTTTTGTTGTTTAGTCATTTTTCAATTGTGTGCAACTCTTTGTGACCCTTTTTGGAGTTTTCTTGGCAAAGATACTGGAGTGGTTTGCCATTTCCTTCTCCGGCTCATTTCATTTTACCGATGAGGAAACTGAGGCAAACAGTAAAAAGTGACTTGCCAGGGTCACTGGCCAAGAAGTGTCTGAGGCTAGATTTGAACTCTGGAAGATGAGTCTTCCTGACTCCAAACTTTGTACTCTATCCACTGTGCCACTTTGCTCAGATCTATAGATCCTTCCCTAGGCTTTCTCCTGAGTGCCAGTCCAGCATCAAAAACTGCTTATTGGACATTTCCAACCCTATGTCCTGTAGGCACCTCAAACTCAACAGGTTGAAAACATCTCATCTTTCTAACTCTCTTCTGTACTTCCCTATTTCTGTCAAGGGTCCAGCCTCCTTCTAGTCATCTAGGTTTGCTACCTCAGACTCATCCTTGATTTTTGACTCTCAGTCACTACCCAGATCTAAGCATAAATCACAGAATCTCAGAGTGGGTAGTCACCTCAAAGGTCATCTAGTCCAATAGTGGTTAAATCTTAATGATTCTCCCTCAGAAACATGTCCCACGTAGGTTTCCTCCTCTCCCACTTCCATAATCACCATCCTATTTCAGTTCCTTATTACAGGCCCTGTCTTGCCTATACCATTGCATAGCCTCCTAATCGGACTCTGTCCCTCTAGTTTCTCCCCTCTTATGGAAGGGTCAACAACTTTAAGTTTTACAATTCTTTCCATAATGTCTTGGTCTTTGTAGTTCTATACACATCTCATTATTTGTGTAAGCACTGGTTTTGCTTCTTACAATTTTGCAACTGTAAGTGCTGTCAGTATTACTTGCAATAGAATATATCTATATGCATACAAACATTTATACATTGCTATATTAGTAAGTGAGAGACTGTATATCATGGTAGATAGAAAGCCAAGAAGATCTATGTTCAAGTCTGACCTCTAATACATACTAACTGTATGACTCTGGGCAAATTACTTAACTTCTCAGTGTTCTAGGTCTAGGTTCTTAGTGCTCCAAGACAGAGATTCTTTTTTTTTCCCCTTTTTTAAAATTAATTAATTAATTAATTTTTAGTTTTGAACAATCACTTCCATAAGATTTTGAGTTTTAAATTTTCTCCCCCTGCTTCTTCTCCCCCCTCTCCAAGATGGTGTGCAATCTGATATAGGCTCTACATATACATTCCTATTAAACATATTTTCATATTAATCAGCTGTAAAGAAGAATTAGAACCAATAGGAGGAACCACAAGAAAGAAGCAACAAAACAAAACAGAAGAAAAAAAAAAGAGCAAATAGCATGCTTCGATCTGTATTCAAACTCCATAGTTCTTTCTCTGGATGTGGATAGCATTTTCCATCATAAGACTTTTGGAGATGCAAGACAGATTCTTGAGCAAACACTCCTGAAACATTATTTTTGGGTGAACGTTTTACGGGTTTTTGCTCAGATACTATAGACTTATCTGTACTTTTTGTTTGTTTGTTTTTTTTTACTAGGCAATAGGGTTAAGTGACCCGCCCAGGGTCACACAGCTAGTAAGTGTCAAGTGTCTGAGGCTGGTTTTGAACTGAGGTCCTCCTACTCCAGGGCCAGTGCTCTATTCACTGTACCACCTAGCTGCCCCCATCTGTACTTTTTCTGACAATGATTTCAGTGTGGCCTTGAATTTCAAGTGAGTTTCACCAGTAAAATTACCTTTTTCCAATCTTCAGTGCTCTAATCTTTTTATTGTCTTATCTATGTGTTTCTTCATCATCTCAGTGGTTAGCTTCTGTTTTGTTGTTGGCCTTCTGTATATTTTTCCAGCTTTAATAATCCTATGCTATTCTGTAGAGGAATCACTAGCAACCCTTGTGGGTTTCAGCTCTCTGTGAAGGTATTTACTTGTTTTCTGAGGATAGGTTAGTCTGCTTTGTAGCAAGAGTTCATTATTTCTTGGCATTGTTTTTGACCACACTTTCTTTTGAGCTTTGGTGTGACTTATTCTATTTCCTTGTAGCCTTAAATGATCCTTGAAATGTTTGACTTTCCCACATCAACAGCTGCTATAATATAGTCATTGAAGTGTGCTCTCTAAGGGCTAGAACTTATGCAATGTTTCTTCACATTTCTATAGAGTTTTAAGATTGACAGAACACTTTCTCCACAATAACACTTTGAGATTGGCACGACAGTTTTATTAGCACCATTTTGCAGATCAGGAAACACGCTCAGACTTGCCTACAACCATACATCCAGGACTCAAACCCTAATCTATTCCTTCTAGCCCAGGCCAGTGCCCTTTCAACTATATCTCCTTACTGTTAGATTGCAATCAGCTTCAGAAACAGAAACCCATAATTAAGCTCAGGTGTCTGTGATTCAGATAAGCTACACTAGACACTGGCCTATAGTGTGTGTGCGGTGGTGGGGTATATGCCTGTGTGTGGTGTGTGTGTGTGTGTGTGTGTGTTGCCAAATTAGCCACCAAGCCACAGATCTGTATCCAATGCACATCCCTTCACACACCTCAGGAACAACACATTAACTCCCAAATTGAACTGCAGTCTCTGCATTGGCCTTTACTTACTGTTTGTCCTTGTGCCAAAAGACACGATTGTCATATGTCATTGTGACCTCCCTAGTCTGCATACTCAAAGGCACTCTCTCATTGCTCTTACACAAAAAAATTCACACCTCTCTCTCTCTCTCTCTCTTTCTTTCTCTCTTTCTCTCTCTGTCTCCCTCACCCAGTCATCTCTCTCTCCATTCTCTAGGATTCACTACACCCAGGCCAGCTTCCAACCACCCTTTGTCACATACAGCAGCACTCTGCCTACCTCCAGATACTGCTAAAGGCTCCTGATAGAGTTGTAATCCATCACACCCCTTTCCAGCTGCCCCTGGAGAGGTGGGAGGGAATCTTCTCGAGCAAGCCTCAGCACCTGCGTCTCTCTGTTCCTCCTAGCCCTCTAGCGCCTCTGTTTCCTGACAACCGATTAATTTCTATCTCTATTGTACAGTGCCAGGAATCTCCCAACGAGCTAGAGGCTCATAAAGATAACTGTGAACGTCAGTGCTTCCCGTAAAGAATAAGGGGAGTAGGGAGCATTTAAAAACATGGTGCTCGTGCAGGTATGTTCATGTGTGCAAGGGCAGAGTCATCTGTGGTGCTATGGCTTTTGTTAAAATGATTGGAGTTATTGTTTGCAGCCTCTCACAGGCTGCCAAACTCAGATACGAAAGCCTTACAGAAGCTTATCTGTAGCAACCTTGGGAAAGGGGTCCCCGGCAACCTAAAAGTAATCATTTAGGTTGGAATTGCCTGCTATGGATAGCCCCAGGCAGGTTTTTCTCTGCTGGTAACATAAATATGTATGTAATATACTCACATGCATCTAGTTAAAACTCGGATCTTGAAAATGATCCCAGGTACAGGATAAAGTCAACATTGTCCAGGGCTCCATGGACAGAAGAGAGGGTACAAATTCCAAGGAAGGCATAGGATGCTGTCAGAGCAGAGGAATTCATGAAGAATCATAGAATTTTGAGCTGGAGGAGACCTTAGGGATCACCTGAATTATAATATGATCATGAATAATTATGATAATAATAATTTATAGAGATACTTCCCCAAGCCTGGCTTAGGGAATAGAAGGCCATCCTTGCAGTCAGCAAAGGTCTGGGTTCTAGTGCTGCCTTTGAAACATTCTGGTATCTGACCATGGATAAGTCATTTAGCTATTCAGCGATCCAGACAACTAGTTACCAGTCTGGGGTGGTGAAAGTTGTTTGTACATTGAATTTTTATTATACCAATGAGATCATAGGCCTAAAACATACATACATACATCAGTATACACACATATATTTTTAAGTGTGTATATTATGCACACACATCTAGTTGTTGTTCAGCTGTTTCAGTCTTTGTGACCCCTTTTTGGGGATTTTCTTGGCAAAGATACTGGAGTGGTTTGCCATTTCCTTCTCCAGTTCACTTTACAGATGAGGAACTGAAGCAAACTGGGTTAAACGACTTGCCCAGGGCCAGCTAGGTGGCACAGTGAATAGAGCTCCAGCCTCGGAGTCAGGAGGACCTGAGTTCAAATCCAGCCTCAGACATTTGACACTTACTAGCTGTGTGACCTTGGGCAAGTCATGTCACCTCATTGCCTCTCTAAAAAATTAAAAAAAAACCAAAACAAACCAACAAAAAATATTAAAAAAAAATGACTTGGCCAGGGTCACACAGCTAATAAGTGCCTGAGGTCACATTTGAATTCAGGAAGATAAGTCTTCCTATTTCCAAGTCCGGTTCTCTATCTACCGCACCACTACTATATACTAGTATATCTATATCTATATCTATCTATATATATATACTACTGCTACATATGTGTATGTAAATATCTCTGCATATACATACACAGACACATATAAATATATTTGTAATCAATCAACAAAAATGTTTATTAAACACTTTGTGACTGACACTGTGCTAAGATACCAAAACAAAAATGAAATAGTCTTTGCTCTCAAGGAACTTACACTGTATGAGGGGCAACATAATGTACATACATCAATACAAAGTTATTTTTTGGCGAGAAGATTCTAGCACCTGGGGGTAGGGTATGTGACCAGGAAAGGCTTTGTGTAGGAGGCAACAGTTTAGCTGAGCTTAGAAGGAACTAGGCGTTCTAAGAAGCAGGAGTGAGGAGGGAGGACCTCCCAGACATAGGAGGAAGCCAAGACAAAGGCCAGCGACTGGACGTGGAGTGTTGTGTGTGAGAGACACCAGGAAGACCATAGAGTGAGTAAAGGGGAGTAATGTATCATAAGACTGTAAAGGTGGACTGGAATCAGACGGTGAGGGACCATAAGGGTCCAAAAGGGGTATTTCTATTTGATCCTTGAGGCAACAGAGAGCCAGTGGAGTGAGAATGACATAGAAAAATCACTTTAGTAGCTGTATAGAGGATAAATTGGAGAGAGGGAAGAAGAGGCTTATATAATGCGTGTGTGTGTGTGTGTGTGTGTGTGTGTGTGTGTATGTGGCACTTGGAGTCAGAAAAATTCCTCTTCCTGAGTTCAAATCTGGTCTTAGACTCTTATTAACTGTGTGACCCTGGGCAAGTCACTTAACCAGGTTTGCCTCAGTTTCCCCGTCTGTAAAATGACCTTGAGAAGGAAATGGAAATCCACTTCAGCATCTTTGCCAAGTAAACCCCAAAAGGGGTCATGAAGAGTCAGACATGACTGAAATGACAGAGCACAATAAAAAAGCCTGTTTTTTTATATTTATATATCACTTTAAGGTTTGCAAAACACTTCGCAAATATCTCATTTGATCCTTACGACAACCTGGGGAGGTAGATGCTATTATTATTATTATTCCTATTTTATGGATATATTTGTGTGTGTGTGTGTGTGTGTATATATATATATATATATATATGTTTCACAAAGTGAACGGTAAATAATAATTTAGTGGTGTAGTCTATCCCTGATAATTCTCATGTGGATGATGCACACTGCAGATTGTCTGTATCTGAAACCAGGAAGGGGGATGCTCCTTGCTACAGAGAAGGAGCACATAATCTCAAACCTGAGATTTGAGGCTCTCTACTACTCAGTTTCTAGCTTTGTACTGGCATTGTTCCAGGTACTTTTGGAGATTTAGAATGGTGGGGGCGGGATGAGAAAGAAGTGGAAACCCATTGTAGAGGAGCTTTTCGTACACCATTCTTGCCAAAGGTCACTGCCGTTCCCTTGCTCAGGGTGATATAGGTAGTAAGTGGCAAAGGTCCTCCGGATTTGAACCTGTGTCTTCTGACTCCAAATGAAGCCCTTTTTCCTGTACCTCTACAGAGGATAACAATAGTGCACAGGGGAGTTTATAAAGTGCTTTTCTTTACAACAACACAGGTAGAACGAGGTTACTGGAACACAAGGTAGAACTGAGACATTTAGCCTCTCTGGGCAACTCTCAAAGACCATACAGCTTGGTCTCCATTAGCTGAATAATGAATATTCTGAAGTGACTGCATTATTCACATTTACACTGCGTGTTTTCATTGGGTTAGAACCAATCACCATAACTTACCTGATTATAACTTTGTATAGTGCAACTTCAAATACATGCAATCACTTCAGAGGATTCATTATTTGTACTAATTGGGACCTTACTGTAAATTGCAGTAAAGACACTGTCTTGCATTCAGGGAGGGAGTTTCCTCATCTGGAAGTTTCCCATACGACTAAGATGGCAGGTCCAGGTTCTATCCCCATAAGGTAGAATGTCAAAGTGCGTCTTAGCCATGCCTGCAAAGCATTGTTAGTACTGGGATGAGGATGGATCACTTCTTCTGGGAAGGCTCACTTTTATGAGATGGACCTTAGGGTTCTAATAGGTCATGTAATTCAAACATGTGGTTTAATGAAATTATATAGCATCCAGATTATAAGAATTTCAGATATATGATTTATTTTTACATCTTTGTAGTAGCCAGTGAAGAGGGAAAGGGGGATAAATAGAAATAGAAAGAAGAAGCGACTACAACCAACCTGTCCTACTCTGTAGTTATTAATTTAAGACAATTGTGACTCTGGAGTTCTTCAAGCTGTAATTTTCTTTAATGAATGTATGGCTTATAGGTTTATTGGTACTTTCTGAGAAACACCACAGTCATATCCTGACATACCCCCTGCAACAGACCTCTCCTTTGCAATAAAGCAAAACTGATAAAATTGTGTGATGATGTCTGATAGGATAGGAACCATTTCCCATGTGAAGTCCCCCACCTCTTTAATGAGAGATGTGATATTCATCACCTGTTCTCAGGGACCAAGATTGATCATTGCATTTAGTCTGGATTCAGGTGCCTTTAATGTTGTTTTATTTTCTGTCATTGTAGCTATGTTTGGAAGGCAGCAGATAGAAAGTGAGCTGTGTAGTCAGGAAGATCTGGGTTCTAGTCCTGCCTCTGAAACTTCCTAGCTGTGTGACTCTAGGCAGTCACTTAATCTCTCAGTGTACCAGGCAACTGAATATGACTGTAAGTGGCATAAGAACCGTGCATTTGCTTTGGCAAAGGGAGGTCTGTCTATGGTAGTTTCCTAATCCAGTTAAGGTCTGGACCAAAAAAAATGTCATTGTATATACCTTGGTAGTCAAGCAATTTGTTTTTACTTTTCAAAAGTATTAACTCAAAGGTGTACCAGATCTTAAATTGTATTATAAAGCAGCAATCATCAAAACTACTTGGTACTGCTTAAGAAATAGAGTGGTGGATCAGTGGACTAGGTTAGGTATGCAAGACACAGTTGTCAAAGTAGTCAAAGTAATCTACTGTTTGATAAACCCAAAGACCTCAGCTTCTGGGATAAGAACTCACTATTTGACAAAAATTGCTGGGGAAACTGGAAAAGAGTATGGCAGAAACTAGGCGTAGACCAAAATCTTACACCATATACCAAAATAAAATCAAAATGGGTACATGATTTATATATAAAGACTGATAATATAAGCAAACTGGGAGAGCAAGGAATAGTTTACCTGTCAGATTTATGGAGAACAGAAGAATTTATGACCAAACAAGAGATAGAGAACATTATGAAATGCAAAATGGATAATTTTGATGACATAAAATTGAAAAGTCTTTGCACAAACAAAACCAATGCAACCAGGATTAGGAGGGAAGCAGAAAACTGAGAAAGAATTTTTACCACCAGGGTCTCTGATAAGGGCCTCATTTCTAAAATACAGAGAACTGAGTCAAATTTATGAGAATACAAGTCATTCCCCAATTGATAAATGGTCAAAGGATATGAACAGGCAGTTTTCAGATGAAGAAATTAAAGCTATCTGTAGTCATATGAAAAAATGCTCTAAATCACTATTGATTAGAGAAATGCAAATCAAAACAACTCTGAGGTACCACATCACACCTATCAGACTGGCCAACATGACAAAACAGGAAAATGATAACTGTTGGAGAAGGTATGGAAAAATTGGAACATTAATGCATTGTTGGTGGAGTTGTGAACTAATCCAACCATTTTGGAGAGCAATTTGGAACTATGCCCAAAGGGCTATAAAAATGTGCATACCCTTTGACCCAGTAATAGGTTTTCTAGGGCTGTATCCCAAAGAGATCATAAAAATGGGAAACCCACAGGTACAAAAATAATTATAGCAGCTCTTTCTGTGGTGGCAAAGAATTGGAAATTGAGGGGATGCCCATCAATTGGGGGAATGACTGAACAAGTTGTGGTAAATGAATGTAATGGAATACTATTGTGCTATAAGAAATGATGAGCAGGCAGACTTCAGAAAAACCTGGAAAGACTTGTATGGACTGATGCTGAGTGAAGTGAGCAGAATTAGGAGAATGTTGTACATAGTAACAGCCACATTGTGTGATGACTAACTTTGATAGACTTAGCTCTTCTCAGCAATGCAAGGATCTGAGACATCTCCAAAAGTCTCATGATGGAAAATGCTATCCACATCCAGAGAAAGAACTATGGAGTTTGGATGCAGATCGAAGCAAACTATTTGCTTTTTTTCTTCTGTTTTGTTTCATTTCTTCTTTCTTGTGGTTCCTCCTATTGGTTCTAACTCTTCTTTACAATATGACTAATAGGAAAAATATGTTTAATAGGAATGTATATTCCTATTAAATTCCTATTTAATTAGGATTTATTTATTTATTTATTTATATTATATACCTTATATTTGTATCTTATATTATATAATAATATATTATATATAATTATATAATATATAAATATATAAAATATTAATTTTTTAATTTAAATTCCCATTTAATAGGAATGTATATTCCTGTATGAACCTATATCAGATTGCATGCCATTTTGGGGAGGGAGGTGCAGAGGGAGGGGGGGAAAATTTAAAACTCAAAAGCTTATGGAAGTGATTGTTGAAAACTAAAAATAAATAAATTAAAAATACTAAATCAAATTAATAGAGATGAAGTGAAAAGTCTTGATTAGAGAATATCTAAAGCAAACTATTTGCTTTTTTTTCTTCTGTTTTGTTTCATTTCTTCTTTCTTGTGGTTCCTTCTATTGGTTCTAACTCTACAATATGACTAACGTGAAAATATGTTTAATAGGAATGTATATGTAGAGCCTATCTATATCAGATTGCATGCCATTTTGGGGAGGGAGGCATAGAGGGAGGGGGAGAAAATTTAAAACTCAAAAACTTATGGAAGTGATTGTTGTAAACTAAAAATAAATTAATTAAAAATACTAACAATCAAATTAATAGAGATGAAGTGAGAAGTCTTGATTAGAGAATATCTAAAAACAAGTACAGTATAGTAATCCATTTCTGGATCAAAATAAAATAATATATGTAAAGGGACAAGAAACACGTCACACTTACGACTTGCCATAATTTATTGATATTAAAACAGATGCCAGTCTGTGACATAGACATCTGGGTCCCTTTTGCCCTGATTTGGGACATGTCATAGTGTGCATGAGGTCCAAGAAGGAACTTGTCCTGTATGCTAGGATTCTAGATTGAATGGCCCCAGAACTTTGGAGTTTGAACTGTTTTATACCCAGAAGAGAGCAAGCTGGAGCTTTGCCAATGTAGCAATTTAAGGTAAATAGGCTCCAGGCACCTCTGAATGAGCCAATCAAGAGTAAGCTAGTTAAGGATGTACTCTGGGTTATTATTCCTTTGGTGGTTAGCAATAACCTCTATGGATCCATAAGTCTCTCTTTCTGTTGAGTAACCCCGGTCCTCTTTCTGTGGGAAGGGTCCAAATCTCACCT